GATACGAACAGGTGAAATTTACGCAGCTCATTTACACACTTTTCCTGAAGATAGAAGAGTTTGTTGAATCTGACGTGAGATGTTCGTACGAACCCTTCGTACGAACAAAAGTAAGAGAAATTTAGGATAAGAATACGAACATGTTCTTGCATGAGACCCATTGTGAGTAGCTGCCGTCTTGAATTCTGATCCCATTTTCTGACAGGGAATTCCCACTGGAGGGGCGTTCCAATTTTAATTCACAATTTTGTAAGTGGGAAATTCCCACTTGTTGGTAAAACTGGGTTGCAGCAAAATTAGCCGGCAACACTTGTGTAAAATATTCATGCCATCTGAAGGCTAATTTTGAAGCCTGTGCGCCTCCACCTAGTTGTGCGATGCCGTCATTTTCTGGGTAAAATAATGAACACGATGCATTATGGGAGATGTAGTTCATGTCAATGATGGCTTGCTTTAAAGCAGCTTTGTAAACAGTAATACATCTTTGAAGCCATGGTGGGCCACATTTGGCCCACAGGCCTTGAGTTTGACGGGCTGTAGTCCAAACGTTAAGCCAAAACTTCTCATAAAGTAAAGATGGTTTAAAATAAATTGATGTATKTCACTGTAAGACAGACAAGTAGGATTGTTGGAAATTAATGTGGCTTGCAAGCAAGCAAGAAAGAAAAAATATTTGTTCTGCTTCAAGAATCAAACTAACGAACAAACATTGAAATTCAAATTCTATAACTTTATTCAGATAATTGAACATCTCAAATGAAAATAACTAAATGAACACTTCCAGCCTGACAGGTATCATATTTTATAACCCAATCTGATTTAAAAAATGACTTAAAAGCAAATGCATATCAGAGTGTGTATTATCACAATATATCAGGTTATTTTCTCTGAAACCACAACCTCCTGTTTCCCTCCTCCTCTCTCTCTCATATGAGTATCATTTCCTAACTTCGTCCTGTGTCAGTGTGTGTGAAGTGTGTGMAGTGAGTCCGGATCCGGAGCCCGCTGCAGGAGGAGCAGCAGGCGGCAGAGAGCGCCGTGTTTTCCCGCAGACCGTGTGTGGACCAGCTGAGGTGACTGGCAGGAGTTGTTTACTGCTGGAGAGAGACTCGCAGAAAAAGAGACGGAACGGAGTAGGGGGGGGGATACAAGTTTTATTTTTTTTTATTTTTAAACACTTGACCCGTCGTTTTTTTTATTTTACTTTTTAACTTATCTTGGGTTTGTTTACCTCATCTTTTTTTATCATCGCTATCCAAGACGGGATACGTGTTTGTGTGTTTTTAAATTATTGTTCTTTCCAACTCTGCCGCCGAAGCGCTGAAAAACCTCGTTTGTTTTGGATTAGCCTGTTAGCTTTAGCCGCTCTCATCAGCAGCTAATTCGAAGGAAAAGCGACGGGCGGCGCGCGCGGCTGCCTCGAGACTCTCCGCTCGCTTCACAGAAACGTGCGGGTTTAACGAGGACGTAATTCCACATTTTGCGTGCTTCAGAGAAGGAGATAGCGTTTGGTTTCCTCCTCCCGTTCGCCTGGTGGGGACTTGATTCCTTGCTTGTATTTTTTTTTTAATTATTATTATTCTTTCACGGCGTGGTGGTGGTCAAGCAGCGGGGGTGAGGGAGTTCAGAGGAAGGTCGGAGTGTATCTTTTTTTGAGGGGGGGCTGGGAGAGAAAGCTGCACGTTTTTCCTGCCTCGGAGTTTCCTGGGATGTACTCCTCTCATCCGTCTTAAAAAAGGAAGGTTGAGCTCGTGAGAAGAGCTGTTTTATTGCAGAACTCGGGAGAAGAAAAACAGCTCGTCTTTTGGCGACAACTTTCTGCAGGAGTAGCAGAAGAAAACWGTTTTTAAAACCTGCGCAAACGCAATTACAACGTGGATTGCACAACAGTGGACCTTAGCAGAGGACCCCCCACGYTATCTTTTTGAATGTGGGATAGCTTATTTGTCTCCTGAATAAAGCGGAGCCCCAAAATCACTCAGATGAACGTGGAGTGTTGCCTTCACTTGCCGTGGGAAATGACGGGTTTTACACGCACTTGTGCCATCAGAACCCAAGATCACGTTATTTAGTGGTCTGGATGYAAGTCTTTTGAGGGGGGATTTAAAATTTCTTACTTTTTATTGACTTTGTTGACTTTTTTCAAATTGAAGATTGGAGTTTTTCAAACGTGGAAAAGGAGGTGCACAACTTYAGTCCAAAATGAGGCGATTGACGTTAAAGCTGCGTACACAAATTGTGTTTTTTATCATCTGTACCTGTATCATAAGTCACTGTGGACTGATTACCGGTGAAAGTAAGTATTACTTTATGTTTTTATTTTAAATTAAAGCTACGTCACTGTGTTTTAGGAAATTTCTGTTTTGGTGTGAGAAAACATCTTGTTGAAGCTGCAATGTGAATACTTTTTAATCTTTTGTATATTAAAGGGGAAACAAATAGGTATTTATGATCAGGCAAAATAAGTGACAAAAATCCTGGAAATGTGCGATTTATTTGTTGTTTTTCATGTCACGAGACTCTCGCCTACGTTTTCGCGCATGCGCAGTCGGCTCGGGCTCTAATTGTACGGCTCGTAATTTCAGCTGTTGTAATTGATAATCCTCCGGTGGGTGAAGCGGTGGTGAACACATCCCCCCCTCGCGCTGGTTCCACGCACACCGCTCGGTGGTCGCCGCTGYCGGACCCGTGGTGGTCAGCTGCAGCGAGGCCAAACTGGGAGCAGCGGGACTGGGCCCCCCGTGAGCCGAAAGAGGCCTCTGGGCGACACACACACAACAAACCGCTGCTGCAGCCCGGACGTAAACAAAGTGTCCACCGAGGCTACAGAGGTGCAGAGTTAACCCGTGCTGCTCTTCATCATCCTCCATAAGGMCGTCTTCCTCTCTGGAGGACGTCTGTGCTGCGTGGAGTTTTATCAATGAGTTGATATGAGGCGTTTAACGAGACATAAACATCTGCGTCAGAGATTATAATCCCACTCCACGTCTAGTAACCTCAGTAAACAACAGCGYGTTTTGTTTTCAGGTGGAGCACACAGGCAGTACCTCTTTGATTTACTACAGCAAACACAATTTACACTCTCACTTTTCACTTGAAAAGTTACTGCACTGTGCAAAAGTCGTAAGCCGTCGCACTGTGGATTTGTTTTAAATCTGACATGTTTGTTTTACCCAGGGATGTTTTATGTTTGTTTRTTGTTAGTTTGCAGGCAGCCTAAATAAACAAAAAAAATCTAAAAAAGACCAAGAAACTCCTTTTTCTTGGACAAAAACGGTAAGAAAAGAGGGATGATTTAAAACTTAAAATGTAATTAACTGCCCTATAGCTTAACAGAAAGTTCATAGGAATCTTATTATAACGACACCTTCCTAAAATAATCTCTTGTAGCCCCCAAGTTTTTCAGAAAACAAACAAACAAAAATAAAACTAACCAACATGACTTTTTTTGTTTTGTTTTGTTTTTGAGATTCCTGACAAAAAATGATGTGGGTTACCGGTATTATTTAAGGAAGACGTTGATATAAGACATTTTAAAGCTTATATAGCCACCAAAATGATGCACATTTTCTATGTTTTGTCATTTAAATTTTATGCACAATTTCTTAATATGTATAATCATGAATTTTATTACAAATTATGTGATAGATGCATATTTAGTGGTTTTTTTGTCACAGATGTACATTTACAAAAATTAAAATCAAAAACATTGAAAAGTCACGTGTTTAACAGTTATTATGGCTTTAGCACAGAGATCTATTAATCGACATTATTTACCTCYTTAAAAAGAAATATTTATTTGCCCTGTGCCTAATCAATTACCAGCACATTATAGTCCACAATTTATTATTTTCAGCAAAGTTTTTTCTGTATTTTGGGGCTGTGGTAGTTTGATGCTCAATACTGAGCTCAAATTATATCAGGAAGGGCATTTAATGGCCAATTCCTTAAATTGATACATAAACTTCTGAATCGATTAATCACGTTTCGATTAAGTTTGATTCTTTCTGTTCTTAAATAATGAAACTAGTTCAACTGTGTTGCAAAATACAAATTTACTTTATTTTTCTCTTCACCGCAAACAACAGGTTTTAAGGGCAAACTTGTAAATTGGACAGTTTAATCGTGAACTGCAAACAAATMTGTCTCAAATTTAAAAGGTTTTTAAATTAAAATGTGTTGTTGGAAACATGAATTTGTAGGAAATTAAGAATAGTTTTCTTGATTAATTTAAATGCAGTCAATCCATAAATCAGTTCTTTTACCCAGCCCTACATGCTCCACACACAGTGTCTGACACTGCTTGTAAGTGGGGATAGTTTTTATTTATTTGGCATAAATAGAGAGAGAAGTTTTACACTTGTGAGTATTTTAGTGATCCTAAATTTAGAGGAACCAAATGTAGTGGAAGTTAATGAGTCCAATAATGGTTTTCAAAGTTAGCCCMAAAAACATTAATTCACTAAAGGAGAAGCTAGTTCTGCTATTAGTGAATTAACGAAACTGTGCCCATTACTACATTAAGGAATATGTTTAGCCAAAACAAACTAATGAATTTTTTGTTTACTTTTTCTCCTTCAAGTTGTAATGTACAAAAATATTAAGAAGYGGAACTAGTGAAGACATCGCCTTTGTTTATATGAAGATTATTTTGACCATGTAATGCTCTACAAGTTTTAGCGCCTCCTCACCTTCAACAACTGTCTGAATTTACGACAAACTCGTTGCTCAAAGTGAACTTYTCCAAATGAAATGATTGCAGATTTTCCTTGTTTGTCATTAGTTTAACCTTTGGTCCACATGTCTCCTGGTGGGATTTGTTTTCAGTGTCGTGGAAAACGGGTTGCACAAGGCTTTACGGAGTGTTTCGGCGCACGATGAGCTCACGTCAGGGCAAATGGRGCAGGTAGTTTGAAATGACCCAGCGTGATGAAATCACGGAGCACGGCTTCCTGGCGCTCGGACTGCTTGCAGATTCTTGCCTTTAATTTAGTATCATGTAAGGCTCCCGGTGGCCAGGTTAAGAGGAAGTGATCCGGCTGCTTTACACGGGTCAGACATGCAGACAGAAAAGAGGCCCGTGAAAGGGGGTCTTTTGAGACCAAGCTGCTGGTAGCTCCCTCCCCTCTTTCCTTTCTCTTGCCCTGTGTCTCTCTCGGGAAGTGCGGTACATGTTTATTGGCTGTTCATGAGGACTCTGGGAAGTGACCATATTTGGAACTTAAGAGATGTTTGCAGCGGGGGTGGGGAAAACAACCAAAAATATTTAAAATATGTCACTCTGTGTCCACAGGCAGCACCGATGTTGCGCTGCAGCAGCTGTGTCCCGCTGACTGCACTCCAGAAAACACACTCAAGTGTCTTTTACAGGTTGTTGATGGGATTGGACAGCTATCTTAGCCATTGTTATCAGTGCATAGTTGTCTGAAGCAGCCCGCTGAGCTGTCTCTTGGTCTTACTCCTACAAAACAAGTTGTGCAACCAGGAGTCCCCCCCCTTCTTGCTCCTCTCAAACTTGTAAGCAGAGCTCAGTATGTAGTGCATCAGTTATTCCATATGGTTCTTTCCATTAWATGTGCTCCCTTCTTTCTCCTTTAGCCCGCTTTTGTTGCGCAGTTTAGCCTTACACGGGTTCCATTCAGACAATGCGAGTCAGATGTCCCACGTTGGTGAGATTTATTTATTTTTGCCAGGACAGCTGTTTGTTCTGCCACCTCTGCTAGAGTTCTAAAATCAGGGCGAGCAGAGCTGCCGTCCGTTTGCTCGAGTGTTCCCAGCCCTTTGGGATTGTCAGGCACTCTTCACTGAAGTGCACACTGGCATTTTCCAACAATGCTCTGCATGTTGTGGAATGTCTTTGAAGTGGCCCACCATGTAGGTGTGTGTGTGTGTGTGTGTGTGTGTGTGTGTGTGTGTGTGTGCGTGTGTGTGTGTGTGTGTGTGTGTGTGTAGCCTAGCCTTTCTGCAGGATCTCATCTCTCAGCTTAGACCACTTTTGGCAAGTTTTGGAGTTGTTGTGCGTATGTTTCCAGATGAAGTCGCCACGCGTAAAAACAGAGGGGATCCGGCTCAAAAGCAGGCTGTCTTATTATTACTATTATTTTTATTATTATTTTAACACTCCACCGATCCAATTCATCAAACAGACAAGTTGTGTCACGAGATGTCAAGTTTCACAAAGGCAGTGAACGAGGTGGAAAAAATGACACAACACAGAGCAGAAATGTTCGTCCACTAAACTTTTATCTTAGGACACCTTAAAGCAATCAAATTAAAAAAGTGTGTGTTTCTTTTCATTCCTTTATGGGGTTGGTGCTGACTTTTTATCCTTGAGGGTTTAAAGAGTTTCACGTTCAATGGAAACTTCCTTAAAATGATTGGTCACTGCTCAGTCTGATTTTCAGGAAGAAGTCAGAAAAAACAAAACTTTTCTGATGCCTCGTTTTTCAGCTCCCAAATAACAGAAACGTATTCTGTTATGATAACACTGCTGATATCTGAAAAGCTGCACTGATAATGCTTTTCGACTGCCCCCAACCAAGCGTGTTTTTATTTTGAAAAGGGACTGTGAATAAATGGTTTCTGGAATTAAATTGTGACAGAATATTGCTAAAATATCTATTTGTGTATAATAAAAGTCAAACAAACAGTTTAGCTGTAGTAAAGGAAGTCTGAGCTTTATTGACGCTTCTGCGTTTTTCATTATTACACTTCATTTGTTAAATAGAAATAAAGTTGTTTGGTGTTATAAACGAGGTTCACTTCTCTTAAAAAAACATCTTGCTTCAACAGTTGTGCCAAAGTTCAGAGGATATCCACATTTTTCACATACCGCTTCATGTGCGAAACGACAGATGCCTTCTTTGTATGTGTATCATGTGTTTGAGTGGAGTGGCAGAGGGCACCGAGTGCATGTGTGTGTGTGTTGTACCGAACCTAAAGAGTTACATTTATTTTGAGGCCTGTCATATGACTGAGAGGTGGCTGTCTGACACTCAGCCCAGTGAGTATCTTAGCAGTTAATTACCACCAAACAAACACACGCGCTGACCCGAACACAGTCGTAACTTTGAGCACAGTGCAGGTTTGAGTTATAATAAAATAATAAAAAGTTGACTGTGGGGGATGAATGGAATAAAAGTCACTCCTCATAGTAAATGTGAAAGTTATTTGCCCATCAAAGGGCTTAACGCCTTCTTCTCAAACCAAAACAAGTACTTGCCAAAACCGAGGCCTTACTGAGTTAGAACTTAAAAGWGCCTGTGACATCAAATTTTTGCAATAAACATGAATGCA